CTTCTCGTATTGATTTGACGAGCAAGGTTCAGATTGAATGTAAATGTCTAATTAGTTCTTTAGTTTTCTTGTTCATACTTTTTTTCTAACACTATCTTTAATTATAACATGTTCTTACAATATTTATAAGCCCAAGAAAAAGAAAATAGTTCACTATGTTGAAAGTAGATTAATTTTTTTTTCGGACGGAAGGAGACTAAATTTTTTTTTTTTTTTTTGGGACGGAGGGACCTATTCGATCTGTTGTGATTTGATTTTGGCATAGCCATATGTATAGGAAAAATATCGGGAGATTCTACCTGAGGAAACCCTTAAAGATGCAATAAAACGGTACAATTTCGTAGTCCTAGATGGGATGATGGAAATTAAGGGAAGATATAGGATATCCGAAATTGGCGATATAGAAATCAAGAGATGGATAGCAGGGAAAGAAGGAAATCTGCGTGCACTTTTATCAACTTTACAGGATGCGCTTTCGCCCGGATTAGGTTGGAAACCTTTTACTTTGGATAACCTAATTACTCCTGCCTCTGTGAAAAGGAATTACAGGAAAGCTGCTTTATGCACTCATCCTGATAAAATGGAACTTCATCGTGCCAAGAACACTGTCACTGCTGTTGAAACGTACGTCGCCGAGAAGGTCTTTGACTTGCTCCGACAGGCTAGGAACCAATCTGAAACCTAGGTTATTCGTTAACACTGCTGGCTGTTTGTTTTTTTCAAGGGAAAAACAAATAATTAAGCCAACCCACTTGGAGAAAATTAATAAATTGTATAAGGTGATTGTTTGTTGAATTTTTGAGTGTTTGATCTTCCTATTCAATAAGATATATTATCTCTGTCACTGAGTTTTAAGATTTGTATTAAAATTAGTATAGATTTTAAAACTTAATATGTACTATTTTATATTTTTTTGGGGGACAGAGGGAGTAGTATTTTATTTTATTTTTTGAATTAATTACTCCAAAAGTACTGAAAAGATGCCATCTATATTCATTCGGAACTAAAAAGAAAAAACGTTACACTTTGGTACTAAATAGTAAACTTTTATTTTTTTTCGATTCTCCGTTTTTTTTCAGAGGAAAAGGGTGGTGGTCAGCGGCGGCGGACGGTGGAGTTGACCAAGGATATAATCGGTAAATCAAAAAAATGAACCACACTCCCCACGCACGTGTGAGTCACGTGGTTGCCGCCCAAAATTTTGGGCGGCAAATTCAAAATTCAAAAAAAATTGAATTTGCCGCCTTGAGCCGCCATGATAAAGCCCGGTGGTGGTCCGGTACCTGACTGGCGGCGGCCTAGTGGTGGTCCGTACCTGACCGGCGGCGGCCCGGTGGTGGTCCGGTGCCTGATCGGCAGCGGACCGGTGGCTCGGTGGTGGTACATGGCGGCTCAAGGCGGCAAATTCAAATTTTTTTAAATTTTGAATTTGCCGCCCAAAATTTTGGGTGGCAACCACGTGACTCGCACGTGCGTGGGGAGTGTGGTTCATTTTTTTGATTTACCGATTATACCCTTGGTCAACTCCACCGTCCACTGCCGCTGACCACCACCCTCTTCCTCGGAAAACAAACGGAGAATCGAAAAAAAAAAGTTCACTATTTAATACCAAAGTGCAACGTTTTTTATTTTTAGTTTTGAGTGAATATAGATGGTATCTTTTCAGTACTTTTGGAGTAATTAATTCTTTTTTTTTTTGAATGGTGAGCAAGTCTTTTCTATTTGGTATAGTTATGTTGCTGTAAATTGATGGAGTGATGACTTTTTCTTTCGGTATACATATACCACATTCAAATTGATTTCCATTGATACCTTTTATCACGCTTCAATGATGTTTAAGATCAATATAAATAATTGTCTTTTCACAAGTTTTTTTTTCCTTCTAAACCAATCTAAAAATTTCTTCTCCCGTTTCTAACTGTGCTACATTGATTTTTTTTTTTAAAAATTAGTTTTCATATTCTGGTCAATGTAAATGATACTCTCCCTGTCCCAAAATTATTGTCCAGTTTGAGATTTCACTCTAGTACAATTTGAACTAAAATTAAAAATCCAAACTGGATAATAATTATGGGAAGGAGGGAATAGTTGTTTCTCTTTGTTATTGTCTAATGATAGTTTGTGACAGTGGCGGAGTTAGGATTTTGTGTTTGCATGAACGAAATGCCTAAAATTTTATTTTGCAAAGGCAAAAATATATATAAAAAAATTAATTTACACTAAAAGTTTGAAATACTCAAACAAAAATTCCGGCGAGGGGGCCGATGCCTCCTAGCTCCGCAACCGGTTTGTGATTTCAGGTTCTGGAATTCAAGAATTCTTTGATCAAACCATTTACAATCAACTTCTTGAGTAAATGACCTTTTGTCACAAAATATACTCCCTTCGTTTCATTCTTAATAGTTTACTTTGTTATAATTTAGTTAAACAAAGTGAACTGTTCAAACAAAATGTTGGAAATATAAATCTATGCAAATAGTTAAGACTCACATTGGCACCCCAAAATTATTCATCTTGAAATTTTTCGAATGGGCTTGGACATCAAGATACGCATCCATGCTGTGAATTTAGTTGTTACAATAAAGGATATTAATAGATATTGGTGAATGGAAATATAAAAGATTAACAAATCAAATATAAGAAGTATCGAACATTATTTTTACACTGAGACACACAAAGTAAATATATGAAAAAACGATCCACTGATTAAAAATAGAAAAAAACGATCCATTGACAAGTAGCAATTGTATAATAGCCCTATTGTTACATAGCAACTGTCACTAAGATCTCTTATTTTGTTAAGTTGTTTCACCAAGTTAACGAAAATGAACTTTTTTATTTCCTAATTAAAGAAAAAAAGTGAGTATCTAATTCAGAAAAAAAAAAAGAAAAGAAAAGGAGAAAGTAAATCACCTGCGACATGTAAATCTAAGTACTCTTGCTTTTAAGACAAAACTCTGTTAATCCGTGGTCGGCCACCAACAAAAAATTGCATCGTTTACTTTCTTCTCACTATTATTTTTCTATAACAACTTTCTCCAATATTGTTGCGTGTTTTACTGAAGATCTCGAGTTATTTCTGCATGAATCAATTAATTCTGTAGTTTCGTTCAAGTAAATGAGTAACGGATTCTAGCCGTCACGCAGCTGAATAACTATGTTAATACCAAATACTGTAAGTTGCCCAAGTGGATGAGAATTTTGTGGCCTAATTTGGGGGTATCACATTCATTAATTATAAAGAAATTGCAAGTCAAAATCAAATGTAGAAAGTACTACGTACTATTACGTTAATAATACTTTGTCAACTACTTATGGAGAGAGTTTAATTATTTGTGGAAGCTTACATTTGACAAGAAGTAGAAACTTCCATGGTAGTCATGATATCTGATTTATTTTGCAAAAAGGAGAAAGAAAAGGTGGGCGTGGGTTTTCCTCTTCACAGGCTTCCAAAATAATTTATACGTCCCAATAAAATTTGAGCCTCGATTTCAAGGTTATATAACCATTATTTTCACCTTCAGCCATCTTACTTAATACTTCCACCCTGATTCATCATTACATTTGCATTGGAATGATCTACATAACATTTGTACATCACTTAATTCCAATCGTTAGTTAATTTGTATTACTTAATTTGTTTTTTTGGGGGATATCATCAACGAACAAAATTATAAGTACAAAAAAAAATGGGGGGACTGGAACGATGTTAAAATAGTAAAAGATAAGTTTCACCCTTTGACCAAAAGCAAATACCTTTTCATTTTAGTCTGTTTGATATCTAACTCAGAAGCACATATCGTGGAGCGTAGAACACACTTGACTTAATTGATTAGTTTTAGGGTTGTCAAAAGGTTTTCCAAAAGGGACCAGTACGACCACAGAATGACAAGGATGAGCTCAATTTCGATTTTGACTTCTAAAAAATTCGTTTTTATGTTTATCTTAATACACAGCAATATTAAGATAAACATAAAAACGATGAGGTGAAATGATTTAGAAAAGTTGTTTTCGGTAAAGATTAGGTGAAATGATTTAGAAAAGTTGTTCTATAATATCAAGATGGAGTTCGATTTTTGTTCCGGCATTCCATTTATGAAACAAAAAGGGCAACTTTCAAATGATCTATATATCCTTATTGCTCCGAGTCACATCATTATGCTAGTATCAAAGCTATCTTTTTCCCCTTGAAAATGATCTATCCATATTACTCAGATTTATATCATTCAGTTAGTTGTAAAGGGGTTTCTTTTTTCCCGTCTTTGTATTGAAAAATTAGTCAGTTCGACCATTATTACATTACATAGGATAGAACATGAGTAGGCTGAAATATATCAGTTAGACAAATTTGTAATTGGATAGCCGAAGTGAGTGAAACTTTTATCCTAAGATTTGGAGTACATTTTCAAGATTGACTATGGAAATCCAAGTACCTTGTGACTGAAACTATCTGATAACCAATAGTTATCATATCTTATGGGTAAGGCAAAAGAGGTCAAACTCACACGTAAACCTTCCTAAACGCTTCCATGAAATTCTTCATGTGTGCCACTCTATCAGGCAACACAAACCTAATTCTTAAGAAATGGCGAAAACATTATAATGGTAAAAAACTATTTCCGCCCCCAAAAAAAAAAAAAACTATTTTGAACTAAAGCCGTACGTGATAATAGAATTTTTTTTTCCTGAAGAGATGGTATGAAAGGGAAAAATTGCAAACATATTACTCCTTCTGTTCCAAAATGATTGTTATTTTTAGTTTTTCAATGTTAGTGTATATTGTATTAATTATGAAAATCTAAACTGAACAATCAATTTGGGTTAGATGGAGCATTGTCTTGGACCAAACCCCCCAAAAAAAAAAAAAAAACATTTTGACAACCAAACATTTGCTGTCTTTTTTTAACATCTTCACATAGCTAATAAACCCTTCATGATCAAGCAAACTGACTCTATAAAAACCGACCGCAATGTCCTAAATTGATGAACCAACTCGATCCATATTCCAAAGAGCACAAAATATACATAAAAAAAGCTCATTTGCCTATACATATTAGCAAGCAATGGAAAGAGTTGGAGTATTGCTCTTCTCTTTTCTCGCCTTGGCAATGAGTTTGCAGGTCGGTTTTTTGTGGGCGGCGGTGACGCTACCGCCGGAGGATGAGCCGTTGGATCGACATTTCTACAAGAAGCCTAATGCGACGTGCCCAAATGTGGATGATTTTGTGAGGCATCAGGTCACTTTGTTTTGGATGCAGGATAAGAGCATTACTGCCAAATTGTTCAAGTTGCTCTATGCTGACAGCATGGTCAATGTATATAGTCGCCTGCCATTCCTTTTTCTTTTCTTTTGGAAATATTATTATCTCGTCCCAAAATAAAATTTATGTTTGTTTTTTAATTTTAGTTTAAAAAATGGTATCACAAAATCAATTATAATTGTGAAACGAGGGAGTATTCGTTTTATTTCTTTTCCTTTTTTGCCCTAAAAAAATGCCTCCTTAGTGAAAATGTTGATTGAATGCAGGGGTGTGATGCATCAATTCTACTGGACGGAAAAAATACAGAGAAAAAGTCACCACTAAACGCAGGTCTAGGAGAGAAGATATTCATACTCATTGACAAAATCAAAACAGTAGTGGAGCAACGATGCCCTGGAGTTGTCTCTTGTGCCGATATCCTCAACCTTGCTACCAGAGATGCCGCTCATCTGGTAACATAATTTACTTCCGTCTCATTTTAATAGCCCGCTTTGCAGTGATTTAAAATCATAACCCTTTTAGAGTTCCTTTCTAGGTTCACACTGTTTAAAAAGAAAACTGACTTTATTCTACTGGTTGAATGAACAGGCAGGGGCACCATCATACCCAGTGTTCTTGGGAAGAAGGGATGGATTTGGGTCAAGTGCTGCATGGGTTGACTACCCCTCACCTTCAAGTTCTTGGGCAACAGTTCAGAACTATGCTATTTCGAAAGGACTCGATCAGCAGGATCTGGTTACTCTCCTAGGTGAAATAAATGGAGATATCCTCAATTTATATTCCATTCTTTAACTCAAAAGGTTCAACAAATCCCCCAAGAAGACTGAAATGTTATAACTTACGTTTTGGTGTGTATACTACAGGTGCACACACAATGGGGACAACACACTGTCAATACATCCGGGATCGCCTGTACAACTTCAACAATACAGGCAAACCAGACCCCAAGATGGACAAATCTTTACTAAAAACTTTGAGAAACCAATGCCCTCAAACGACAACTAAAGGAACAAACGATCCTGTGGTCTATTTGAACCCTAAAAATGGTCCCAAGTACGAATTCACCAACAACTATTACAAGGGAGTGAAATCATATAAAGCTGTCCTGGGGATTGATCAACAACAAATGTGGGGAAACTATTCATTTGTTGATGCATATGCAAAATCTTTTGAAGCATTCCGCCAAGAGTTTGCTTTGTCAATAAGCAGGATGGGTGGCTTGAAAGTATTGACTGGGACAAATGGCGAAATCCGCAAAAATTGCCGGGTTACAAATAGAAACAATCCAAGCATCAAGTAGGATCGATTTTTAGCATTGAACATGCAGTGATTACGTCCTCGTTATGTTATAATAAAATCTTTAGAATATGTACTTCTATTATTGTATGAAAACAAAGGTACATTACAAACTTCTCCAACAGTAAACTGAGGTTTGGGGCCATTTTTGTAGGAGGGTGTATGTTTTGTGACGCAGAAACAAATACTACCTCCATTTTTTTTACGGTATTGCTTAAAACAATTTAATTTTACTTTATCCATCTTGTAAAATAAACTAAAATACCCCTATAAAGCTACGGGAAGTAAAATCAAGCTACATTTACTATTGTCCATTTTTATCTTAGTTTCAATGTGTCCTAGATATGGTAAACCTATAGCAGTATTATATTCTTATTGAGTTTTCGTTTTTTTATTTTTATTTTTTAAGTTTATTATTCTACTGTCATCGGAAAAAATTAGGCTCGTTGATGAGCCTATATGGACAATGTACAACAATGGTAGGAAAGTCAGATATGCCGTGAACAGAAAAAAAAAATTGGACATTAAAGCCGTTGATCACATCAAAATAAATAAAAGAAACGATCGCACCAAATGAAAAGAACGATCACCCATTTCGCAAAAAAAAAAAAAAAAAGGATCACCGATCATACCAAAATTAGAAAATATAGCCCCTAACATTTTGCAAAAGATTAAAATTAAAACCCAAAAAAAAAAAGAAAATCAGCCAGAAAGCCCAGAACACAGCGCCGCCTGATCACACCAAAAACGAAAAAAAAAACACACCAAAAAGAGTAAAAAATTCGCCTAAATATTACCTCATTTTTTTCTCTTTCACGTGTCAGCAAAGTTTTGACTGTATATTAAAATAGAGTAAACCACAAAATATGTCATTGAACTATTTGGTAATTTCATCACAGATCATCAATAAAATTTATTTCCAAAAAAAGGCCACCGGACTATGCAAAAAATTCAGACGAGATCATTATGTTAATTGTAGCCGTTAAATAGTGACGGAAATCTATTTTTCACATGCTTTTGTGTTTAGGGGTATTTTAGTTATTTTTTTAATTTTCAATTTTTAAGTTTTTAAAATAAATTTTAATTTAATTTTTTTTTACAATTCTTCGTCTTATACTTTCTAACTTGTATATAGTGGTAGTATAATTTCTAAATTTCAAAAATTAATTTAACTTTTATATTTTAACTTCTATATTATAAAATATTTCTTTTTTAAAAAAATTTATAAATGAAGAAAAAACTAAAAATTAGCTAATACAAGCTGTTTCTCCTAGGCTATTTAATTTTTCTCAACTCGATTTAATTATTTAATTATTAATTTTCACGTTTACTCCAATTTGAATTTCTCTTCTTTATTTTTTTTTTCTTCTTCATTTTTTTATAATCTAAAAGTTAAGATACAAATGAAAAATTAATTTTTAAAATTTAATAATTATTATAGTACCAACCTATACAAGTTAGAAAATAAAAGAAGAAGAATTGTAAAAAAAAATTAATTTAATGTTTTTCGTTATGATTTAACGTTCAAAATAGCTTTCAACCAAGAGAAGCTGATGCACCTAGGTTATTTTGGGCGTTAAATCATGATGAAAAGCTAATTTTCACATGCTTTTGGGTCCAGGTGTAATTTCAGCATTTTATATTTTTTAAGAAATATTAATATATATATATATATATATATACTTTTACAATTCTTCTTCTTTTACTTCCTAACTTGTATATGTTGGTTCTAGTGTAATTACTAAATTTTAAAAATTAATTTGTCATTTGTATCGTAATTTCTAGATTATAAGACAATGAAGAAGAAAAAAAAATAAAGAATACAAATTTAAATTGAAAAAAATGAGAAAAATAATAATTAAGATAATTAAATCAAGTTGAATATAATTAAATAACCTAGAAGAAACAAATTGTCTTAACTAATTTTTTAGTTTTTCTTTTGGTTTAAAATGGTAAACTATTGATTTTCATGTTTACTTCAACTCGTATTTTTCTTCTTCATTTTTTATTTTTTTTTTCAAAAAATTTTACAATCTAGATGTTAAAATATAGTAGTTAAATTAATTTTTAAAATTTAGTAATTATACTAACAACATATACAAGGTATAGGAAGAAGATTAAAAAGAAAAAAAATAAAAATTTAAAAATAACAAAATGACAAAAATATCCCTAATCCTAAAAGCATGTGGAAATAGTTTTTCGTCACTATTTAACGACCAAAATTAACAGAATGATCTCGGGTGAATTTTTTGCTTAGTACGATGAAATATGTCACCGTACTGAATATGTCAATCATTCTCGAATAAATAATGACATATTTTTCTGAAAAATAATGTTTTAGAATCTACGTGCATCCTGCAGTTACAACAACTGGAATGATTCATTTGGAAAGTAAGTGAGATAATAACCTCTAGCAACCGTAGCAACTTGTTGTAGAACTTCTATAAGGATACAAAGTGGAATTAGTTTATGCCATTTGATATGGAAAGTGGCATCATTCATCTTCTTTAAAAAAAAAAAAAAGCATTTTAAAGCATATAGGAAAGATGAAGCAAGTTCTACATCAAAAGCAAAGAAAGTTTCTACATCAAAATATCAAGGGAAGTACTTCCACATCATCAATAATCAAAATATAAGTAGGTATAGTTCATAAAATAACCAGATCCCTTTAGTAATTTACGTTCCTTTAACTCTTACATCTCTCAAATCCTCCACTCTATTTCATCCAATCAACATACTCATCATCAGGCCTACGATTCCGGACACTCCATACCCTGTCATCGCCGCCTTTACGCTTAGCACTGCCACTACTAGAATAAAAGGATTTCTTCACACTTGAATTTGTCATGATATATATGTTAGCACCACACTTGACTTTTTTACTACAGCTTCACAAAATGTGATCCATTCATGTGTGTTGATAGAATAAAAAGTTATAATGACACTACAAAAGATGTTCATAGGTTGGGAATGTTATATTGTAAAAATTTACCAACCTAGTCTATCCTCTCACTTGGAAGTGTCAAGAATTTTATTTTATTTTATTTTTGGGGGAGAACTTTACAAATGGCTAACACCTCAAAATACACCTGGATGAACCTCTAGAGTCATTCTCCAGTAGCAACGCAATACAGTGTAGGGGGACATCGAAAAAATATAAGCCCATGTTTCTCCCCAATGTGGCCTTAGCAAGAGTATCGGTGCACATATTATTATCCCTTCACGTATAAAAAAAACACCTCCCAATTAGTGTGCAAAAGGGTGTAAATCCCTTTTAACTCTGGATCCAGAGGGATTACATTTTGATTCTTCATGCTATGGATCATATCAATTGCTGTATGCAAATCCGATTCGCATATTAGTTTAGCAATTCCCAGCTTCTTAGCTACTTCCATAGCTAATAGAATTGCTCTAAGCTCTGCTGTCTCAACTGAACAATAGCCCAAGTTCTTGTTAAAGGATTTCAATGCAAAACCTCTATCATCCTCAAGATCACACCAGCTGCAGCATCCCTGGTTCCTTCACACACTGCACCATCACAGTTAGCCTTGAACCATGTCATCGGCGGCTTCTTCCAACCTGGAGCTTCTTCGTTATGCCTCCCCAACTTCTGCCATTTCAACTTTAGTTAGCTTCTTTCGATCTCTTCAGCCTTAATTTGTGCTATTCTGATCGCACTTTCCACATTAATCTGACCACCATTAAAAATATGCTCATTCCCCCAATTCCATTATAGCCAGCAAGTGCTTCCAAACATGGTTCGCCATTTCATATCTACATCTTCAAGATTAGCACGCAGCCACTCCTTAAGCTCCTCTTGAAAAAAGACCTGTCGTCGACTAGAGTGCACCAGCCGCAGCCAAACTTCTCTAGCCAGGCGACAATCCCTGAGAGCATGAATTGTGTTTTCAACTGCTTGATTGCATGGTGTGCACACCTCTGTTGTAATCACCTTCCTTCTCGCACACAACTCATTCGTTGGAAGCCTACCATGGGTAGCTAGCCATAGGAAAGTTCGAATCCTTTGGGGGCCTTTCCAATTCCAAGCTTTGCGCCAGCCATCATAAACCTGCAAATTTGAGCTGTCAAGGGCTAAGAAATATGTTGATTTAATCGAGAACTTACCTGACTTGTTGTGGAGCCATCTTGGCCGGTCTCTCCCCACTGCATCCATAGGAGGTGGTGAGTTCAGCACTTGAGATACTACATCTCTTCCTAAGTGTGGCCTGCATTTTTCTAGATCCCAAGATCCATCAGCTTTAATGAATTCCACTATATGCCTTGACCTTGGGTTGTCTGGAATTGGACACACTGCCTGCTCCTGAAGTTTACCCACCCCCTCTAACCAATTATCCTCCCAAAAACGTACTGTTCTTCCATCACCGACAGCCCAGGTTAATCCCTTATCTACTAAATAAAAAGCATCAAAGACTCCTTTCCATAAGGGGGATGCCCTATTGGTTCGTCTGAGTTTCCAACAACCCTTCGTCTTTTTACAATATTTTCCCCTTAGCACTTGAACCCATAGGTCCTCTTCCCTGACCACCAATTCCCACCCAATTTTCACGAGAAAAGCAATATTGTTTTCCCTTGCTTTCCTTAGACCAAGTCCCCCTTTTTCCTTTGTACTACACATCGTATCCCAGTTCACTAGATGTAACTTCTTCTTATCAACAGTCCAGCCCCACACAAAATTCTTGTCCATTTTGTCAATTTCGTCACATACATGAACCGGAAGTTTGGTAGTTTGCATCTGGAACATGGGGATTGATTGTAAACAAGATTGGGCCAGCGTGATACGTCCCGCTAACGACACCTGACTTGCTTTCCAGCTTGACAGTTTAGACCTGATTTTCTCTAACATATCATTATAAATGAGCCTTGTAATTCTCCGATAAAGGACTGGTGAGCCTAGATACTTGCCCAGGTTTTCTGTAACTCCAAAACCAAATTTCTTACTGATAGCATTCTTCAACTGCATTGGATTATTCTTAGAGAAATAAATTTTTGTCTTTTGTGAATTCACCTTCTCTCCCGAGCTCCTACAAAAATTCAGCAAAACAGTATTCATTACATCTACATGCTCCAAACTAGCTTCAGAAAACAAAAACAAGTCATCAGCAA